TCTCTGTTTTCTCACCAGAAAGCTTGGGTTTTTGTTTTCCCACTCTTCCGCACATTGCTGTGACTGTCCGCATCCTGGGCCAAGCTCTAGGAGGACCGGGAGAGAAAAAGAGCAGCAGAGATCTGTCCCTCACTCTTGGGACCTCAGTTCTCTGGTCATGGGAAACAGTTCACCTTCCTCAGAGTTTAGGGACATGCCTGGCTGCTTGTGCTGCTGCGGCAACTGCAGCATTGCCTGGGGGCGGGGTTGGGGGGGCTGGAGAGAAAGGAAAAACGGGAAAAAATGAGGAATTTTACCACTTTCTGACCATTAGGTGGACCCTCTTTTGTTTTTTAGGCTAGAAAGAGAGGGCTTCTCTTGGAGCTTGTCTGTGCACACATCTAGTGCACACTTACGACCTTCAGTCTGTCTTTGCATCCAGAACAGGTAATGTTAGAAGAAAAGATAATGATAAACATATCCCCAGTTTGGTGGAACTTTGAACCTTATTCTCTTTCTTCTTCTTCTTCTTCTTCTTTTTTTTAAATCTATTTTTAGTAGAGACGAGGTCTCTCTCTTTGTCAGGCTGGTCTTAAACTCCTGATCTCAAGTGATCCTCCCACTTTGGACTCCCAGAGTGCTAGGATTACAGGCGTGAGCCACTGCACCTGGCCCTTATTCTCCTTCTTAAATTCACCTGTGATCACTTATTTTTCAGAGTCTTCAGGTAGCTATCTGAATCCATGCATTCTTTGCAGGATATATTGTTGAATTCAGCAGAGGAGACAGAGTAGATTGTGATTACTTGAATTTTCCTGGAATCGGCACCAGATTTCTTTATTTGTGAAATATCTGCTGAAGTCTTTTGCATATTTGTTTCACTGGACTATCTGTCTCACTTAATGTCTTATTTTCACTTAAAAAGAGCTCCAAAATTAGACAGCTCACTTTAACTGTTAATGATGCTTTTGAATCTCATATTTATCAAACAATGTCAGCTTAACATTGGCAAGATTCCCCTTCTACTCTTGATTCTTTTCCATTTTTAGAGAAATATATAATCTTATTTTATAAAAATGAAAATTAGATATCCTTTAATGTTTAAACAGAAAAGTGAGACCCCTCACAAGGAAATTTGAGATAATATTAATATTTAATAGTATCGGGAAACCTGCATTGGCTTGACAAGACTTACTTCCGGGTTTCTGACAGCCTCCAGGGAAGCAATGGGAGTGTGAATTCATTGTCTAGAGATAGTTCTACAATTATATCAAAATACTTGGCAAAATACATTGTGAAGTTGAAGTGTGCCTATCCTCATGCATTTTTGCAATCTTACACAGATACATAGGTAGTTGGAAGTATTAATGAACCCACAAGGGGGGTTCGATGTTGCCCACCGCACAGAAAGCGAATTACTGAGATGATGAGGATTGTCAAGGAGGAAAGGATTTATTGCAGAGAACTTGGCAATAGGGCGGGGGAGGTTATGGATTGCCTCAAACCCACCTCCCCGACCAACAGGGTCAGGGGTTTTTCTGCAGGAGAAATGAATAAGGGGCGAGGGGTGTGAGCATCATTGTGTGTTTGGGGCGGAGTGCAGGGCACACAAGCGCAGTGAGAAATCATGCCAGTACATAGGGCCCATGATCAAAAGAAGCAGATAAGTCCCTCCCAGGGTGGGGATTTCAGTATTGTAATGCGCTAAGGGTTAATATTGGTTGTTCTTTCAGCTTGTGCGCAGGCTCAGTGGGTCTTCGGGCACTGTCCGTGGTGGAGTGTTGCTTATCTCGTCTTCTCCAGACAAGCAGGTGGTGTGAGGCTTTGTAGGAGGGTCCACGGTTCCTGGGAAAGGAACCCAAAAGAGAATGCATCAGTGCAGCAGAAAGTTGCAAAGTTCTGGTCGGCAAGTTTTGCTAAAGAGTTCTCTATTTTCTGCCTCACTGAGACTGTAGCCACTAAATTCCCAGGACTGAGATGAATCTTGCTGTCAAGGCCACTTAGAGCTGCCAGCCCCAGCCATCATGTGAACACTGAAAACTCATTGGAAATATGGGGAAACTGAAAACATATTGAGAAAACATTTTCTTGCTTATACAACCAGTTACAATTTTCCCCCTTTTCTTGGCTCAGTACAGCTTGAAAAAAATCATTTAAAATAGTTCTGGCCTTCAATAGGAGGACAACATAATAGTACTTCCTTGTAACATTATTGACGAGTGAGTGATATGGAATCTTATTTACTTCTCTGATACTTATTTCTTAGTTTATTAGTTATTCTTAGCAAATTTCAGACATATTTACAAGCAGACATATTCCTTATCCAATATCTACTCCAGTGGATCAAATAACATCTTTTCCATATCATTGCTCCAGGGAAACATATAAAAGTTGCTATAGTTTCTCTTCTTATTTGAAGGATATTAGAATCTTATGTGTGTGCAATGCTCATTATGAACTTCTTAGTTGCAATTATAATGTGTGGGATTACACTCATTAACTGTGGAAACATATAAAAATATTAACTATATGTAGTGAGAGGCTTTATTTGTAATATCGGAGATTCTTATATCTAAATACATACAGTTTTTATAGCAATAAATATCACATAATTATAGTTTATTATTGGTTATTATGTCAATACTCTTAGTTACTTTAGGATATTTTAATTCAGGCCAAAATTGTGGATATTTTTCTTCCTAATCTGCTTAAAGTGGACATGGCAATTGTGATGTATGATAGAATTCTCCACCTGGCAACCATGGTTGCCATGGTGATTACCGTGTAGGCAGAAAGCACTGTGACTCACTGTGTTTTCCCTGCTCATCTTCACCATCTCCAAAGGGGACAAATGTGCATCTGGCAAGGACTGCTGTTCAGGCCCCTTTGTTATCTTCTGAGCTGCCAGTTGGGAGGGGAAAATGGGCAATGTGGCTTTGCTTTATTAAAAACCATTTCTCCACATGAAAGAATGGCTAATCTGTTTGTTAAAACACAATCCGCAACAAAACAGAGAAAATCTGATTTTATATCATGGAGACAGCATGATTATTGTGGTACAGCCACAGAAGCATGATTAATACCATATTCTCTAAAATAAAATCAAAACAAATGTGCATTATGTATGTTCTATGCCATGTATCAGCAAGTACAGCAATTGCAAAAGGAAATAAAAAGATATATTCTTGATAAATTTCAAATCTACCTTGATTCCTTAACTGTGAATTAAAAATGTGTTTTCAAAATATGCCAGTTCAGAGAAGATGTGCAGGTAATATGAAGTTAGAATTCAACGCCCACACCTTCCACCTAACAGCTCTGACTCCTTCAGAATATTACTCAACCTCTCCTGGCTTGGTTCTCTCATATGTGTAAAGAAAACAAATTATAGTAGTAATATTGGAATGAGAGTTATACATGAAAATATGGTAGTATACTTAAAAGAGTTCCTGACATAATAATCATTAGACGAATATTTGCTGTTTCATTACTAAGTATCACTTTCCTTGTGGGTTAGAGTACCTCCATTCTCTCAGTTCCCTAAGCAGGGATGCCCCTGGACACTCTGGGTCTCCTGAGCCATGTCTTAACCTTCTCCTTGGAACTGGATTGAGATATGGATGGAGAAGACAGCTATTGTTCCAGATTCTCACTTAGATGGAGCTTTTCTGTCAACAATACTAAGTTGGGGGCTTTCTCCTCTAATGGAAAGGACACAGTGGGTCTCTCTTTCCTGCTCCCTGGAAAGTTCCCTCTGGGGGACCATCCAAGATCTACCTTGCAGAGTGTCCTGGCTAGCCTAACGGTCTCAGGCTGAGCTTCCCTCCTACTTAAATTAATCAGTATTATGAAGATCACTGGGTGTTTCATCTGTCTGATTGGCTGTTTTAGTTCTTATGAGAGGCAGTGCTCAGGTGGGAAGAAAACTATTGAACCCTGTTAAAACCAGCTCTTGTGGTGGCTGCCCAGAGAGACAATAAGGCCACCAGCTGGAGGCACCTCCAGGGAACGGGACCTTCCCTTTTGGGGCCCTGCAGCTGACTAAGGGGAACTCAGACTGTGAGCTCCCTACCTGTCAGGCCTCCCAGGTGCTGCTGGCACGGTGATCCCAGGAGAATGGGGTAGGCCCTAAGGCTGAGAGACATAGACCCAGCTTGGGCTCCCCATGGGTGAATTGGGACTGTCACTCCTCTCCCTGGTGGGGATATAGTTTGAACTCTGGGGCCCAGAGGTCAGACCTGCAGACAAGATCCCGTGCACCCAGGTCTCGCATTGCCTGGGGCACAGAAGGGATATTTGTGAACAGCCTACTGAGGTGTGTGTGCCTTCAGGGGCAGATCAGCGTCCTAGAGGGCAACCCTCCTCCCAAAGGGAGGCCATGCGCCCAGCCCAGGTGGCGTTCTTGCGCTAACCCTAACCCTGCTGGTATCACAGTCCGGGGAGGCCTGGTGGCGTGTGGTCTGGCCTGCTGGCAGAGGCCCAGGAGAAGCCACGGAGTTGGGGAGGGTGGAAAGAAGCCAGGCCTGCTCCAAACTGCAGGTGTCAGACAGCCCAACTCCCTCACGTAGACTCTGTGACTGAGCGGGCCATTCCAGCCCCTCCCTGAGAGCTTTTTTTTTCTGTTCTTCTGGAAGCAGAGAACAGAACTTTGACCCCTGCTAAGGACATTGGTGGTGCCTGAGGGCAGGTTGACCCAACCCAGCTCCGCCCAGACTCTCTCCCAGACCAGCCCTCACTGAGGGGGAGAAAAGGACACACCTGGAAGTCCCAGGGCCCCACCCACCACCTGAGGCACTAGAGTGCCTCTCTAGAGGAACAAGAACTAATAACAGGACACAAAAACAGCATAGCCTGTTCCTCAAAGCAAGCGCCACCTACTGACAGGGAGGACACCCTGCACACCCTTTACACGGCTCCTACTGACTCATTATACAGGGAGAGGTCAAATCTCACCCACAGACACCACCTACTGGCTCAGAAACTCAACAAGGTGTGTGAATACCCAAATGAAAAAATAAATGAATCTCTGTAGTGCTATTACATGATGGGTTTAACAGGTGAAACACAATATGGTAACTACATTGTACTGTTTAATTCACAGAAGGAAAATGATTTTTTAAAATATAACCAAGATGAGACTAGACAGTTACAAACAGTGAAAAACAGTGAATGAATAAATAAGATGATTTTCCGTTAATAGCCATTCAGTATTTCGCTTTTAGGAACCCAGAAGAAATTGTCTTCTTTGAGTTTCAAATGTTCTGGTAGATCTAGTCGTTTCTTAGCTTCTTCAATATCACCACGAATTGCTGAAATAAGTGACTCTAAAGAATCAAAGTTCTTTTCTGGTCTGAGGTAGCCAACGATGACCACACTGAGGATTTCCCCATAGAAATCCTCTTTGAAGGTATGCATGATATGAGTTTCCATGGACTTTTTTGTATTCTTGTAGTACGGGTTCCATCCTATGCTCACCACCATCTTGTGGACATCTCCACTTCCAACCCTGGCCCAACCATAATAAAAGCCAGTGGATACGTCAGCTGGAAGATTACCTACTACTTGTTTAGGAAAATTAGCTGTGAGGATGCCCAGCTGCTTGGAGCCGCGGCCGAAGCCCCGCACCACTTGGCCCCAGCAGAAGTACGGCAGGTGCCTCATGAGGCCGTCCGCTTCGGATACGGCTGCGGTCGGGTCTGCGCGTCCAGGGGAGCCAGCGTCGAGGCGGTGCCGGACCCCCGACCAGCCGGGAGACGGCCGTGAGGTGCCCGGACCCCCGACCAGCCGGGAGACGGCCGTGAGGTGCCCGGACCCCCGACCAGCCGGGAGACGGCCCTGAGGTGCCGGGACCCCCGGACCAGCCGGGAGACGGCCGTGAGGTGCCGGGACCCCCGACCAGCCGGGAGACGGCCCTGAGGTGCCGGGACCCGGACCAGCCGGGAGACAGGCGTGAGTGGCCGGACCCTCGGACCAGCCGGGGGACGCCGTGAGGTGCCTGGACCTCCAGACCAGCCCGGTAGACGGCCCTGAGGTGCGGACCGACCAGCCGGGAGACGGCCGTGAGGTGCGGGACCCTGGACCCAGCGGGGGACGCCCCTGAGGTGCCGGGACCGACCAGCCGGAGACGGCTGAGGTGCGCCGGGACCCCCCGACCCAGCCGGGAGACGCCCGTGAGGTGCCGGACCGCCGACCAGCCGGGAGACCGGTGAGTGCGGGACGCCGACCCAGCCGCCGAGACGGCCCTGAGGTGCCGGGACCCCGACCAGCCGGTGAGACGGCCCTGAGGTGGCCGCGGACCCCAGACACCACCGGGACGGCCCGTGAGGTGCCGCGGACCCCGGACCAGCCGGGAGACGGCCGTTGAGGTGCCGGGACCCCCGACCGCCGGGAGACGGCCGTGAGGTGCCGGGACCCCGACGCCGGGAAGACGGCCCGTGAGGTGCCCGGACCCCCACCAGCCGGGAGACGGCCGTGAGGGCCGGACGCCCGACAGCCGGGAGACGTGCCGTGAGGTGCCGGACCCCGGACCAGGCCGGGAGCGGCCGTGAGGTGCCCGACCTCCCGGACCAGCCGGGAGACGGCCGTGAGGTCTGCCGGGGGCGGCGCACCCAGGCCGGGGGGCGCCGATGATGAACGAGCGTGGGTTCCCTCTTGCCTCCTGA